ATATCAAGAATTTACTAATTGCTGTAGTGGAGAATTCCCAGCTTCTTGAAGTGCTGGTTATCACGTTTCATTTGTAATTTCCAGTTTACCATCCATATTGAATAAATCAGAGAAAATTCCAAAAGACTTCTGTTCATCACCTTCTTTTTTTGCACAATCACAATTACCCCTATCAAATTGGTATCAAAGCAAAATGACCCTCACCGATCGAGTTGTAGTGCTGGAACAACAAGTGGCGGACAATCATCTTGAAATACAGATAGGAATGACGAATATGAGGACCGAAATTCATCAGCTATGCTCCGAATTGATGGAAAACTTGATTTCGTGCTCCGTTCTTGGGACAACTAGGAACGGGACAGGAAGGAAAAAAGGTTGCCACCAACCAACTGACCTTTTCACCAAGTACTGGGGAGACTCAGGCAAGTTCGGAGAAAATTCAGAGCAGCGGGGGAACGACCGAAACTGGGTGGCGTTGGGACCCGCGGGTACATCGACTCGACATGCTTGTGCTTGATGGTCAAGACCCAGATGGATGGGTCTTTCGTGTGGAACGCTACTTCGTCATTAACCTGATGACAGAGGAAGAGAAGAAAGAGGCAGCAACGGTTTGTCTGGAGGGAGGAGCTTTGGCCTGGTACCAATGGGTAGATCGACACAGAATCGTGGAGAATTGGGAGGAGCTGAAACTCCAACTACTACGACGATTCCGATCATCGCAGGACAGGATCCTCTGCGCCCAGTTTTTGGCCTTCCGACAAACCACCACTGTTCAGGACTATCGTCGGCGATTTGAGCAGCTGGCATCGCCGTTACGAAGCGTCTCAGAGGAGGTCGTGGAGAGTGCTTTCATTAACGGGTTGAAGGCTGAAATAAAGGCTGAGGTCTAGTTGCTTAATCCGGTGGGCCTGGAGCAGATTATGGAGGTGGCTTTCCGGGTTGAAGAAAGGAATAATGTGATCCGGTGCGGTCCAACTAGTCCCGGCCCATTTAAATCCAAACCTACTCAACTGGGCTATAATCCCTATCCAGCCCAACCCCCAAACTCATATGTAAAGGCAGCGACACCAGTGAGCCCCAGTTATCAACGCTCCAATCCCATTTCCAGGAACTCTCCATCCCGTCCCTTCAAACGGCTTACTGATGCTGAGATACAGTCAAAAAGGGAAAGGGGATTATGCTACCGCTGTGATGAGAAATTCACTGTGGGCCATCGATGTAAGAACAAGGAGCTCCAGGTAATGGTGATAAGGGAGCTTGAGGAAGAACACCCAGCTGACATCGAAATTTCGACCACACTGGAGGTTTCGGACGGCGATGCACAGGAAGTCGCCGGGGAAAAGTGGGCTGAAGTGGGTAATGCTGTGGAATTATCCCTTAATTCCGTGGTGGGTCTCACTACTCCAGAAACGATGAAGTTAAAAGGCTCGATGGGAACAAAGGAAGTAGTGGTACTGATTGACTGTGGAGCCTCTCACAACTTTATTTCTGCAGAATTGGTCCAACAACTGGGTCTCCCGTTGTCCAGAACCATGGGATATGGCGTCATCATGGGGACGGGGTTAACGGTTAAAGGAGAAGGCATATATGCAGGGGGTAAGACTGCAGATACAAAATTTAGCTGTAGAAGAAGATTTTCTCCCATTAGAGTTGGGAAGTTCAGATGTTATTCTGGGAATGCAATGGCTGCGATCAATGGAGGAAATGAGTGTGAACTGGAGAGAGCTGACTATGACGTTCAATGTAGCTGGCATTAAGGTTACATTAACCGGGGACCCCAGTTTGAGCAAGACATCGGTCTCCCTTAAATCAATGTTGAAGGCATTCAGAGCACAAGGGGAGGGGGTGGTATTAGAACTGGGGAACATTTCTGTCCAGGCTGAGACGACCCTTTTGGACCCTCCGGAAGTAATTAGCAAGGTATTACGTGGTTTTGCTGATGTGTTTGAATGTCCCAAGCATCTTCCCCTTCAAGAGCTCGGGATCATGCCATTACTTTACACCCAGGATCTGCCCCAGTCAGCGTTCGACCATACCGTTATCCCCATTTCTAGAAAAACGAAATTGAAAAGCTACTGCGGGAAATGTTGGCTGCAGGCCTTATCCAGCCAAGTATGAGTCCATTCTCAAGCCCGGTGTTATTGGTAAGGAAGAAAGACGGGAGTTGGAGGTTTTGCGTCGACTACCGAGCTATAAACAATGTTACAGTCCCCGACAAGTTTCCAATCCCTGTCATCGGCAAGTTGTTGGATGAGCTCGGAAGGGCAACTGTATTCTCCAAGATTGATCTGAAATCAGGGTACCACCAGATTCGGGTAAAGTCGGTGGATGTGCCGAAGACTGCTTTCCAGACCCACGAGGGACACTAAGAGTTCCTCGTTATGCTGTTCGGTCTAAAGAACGCCCCGGCCACTTTCCAGTCTATCATGAATGACATTTTCAGAAACAATCTTCGGAAATTTGTTTTGGTATTCTTCGATGATATTCTAGTCTACAGTCGGACGGTGGAGGAGCATATAGTTCATTTAAAGGTGGTGTTGCAGTTGTTTGTGGAAAATCAGCTCTATGCTAATGAGAAGAAATGCCTTTTCGGAAAGAAGGATTTGGATTACCTGGGTCACATCATTTCTGGAAATGGAGTAGTTGTTGATGTAGCCAAGGTGGAAGCCATGAGAGGATGGCCAAGGCCAAAATCCATCAGGGAGTTAAGAGGATTTCTGGGGTTAACAGGGTATTACTGTCGATTTGTCAA